TGGGGTTCATTTCTGCCTTAGTGGTCAAAAAGTCAAAAATACAATGACCTCCGTAGGCCTCAAATTCTACCTGAGTGCAGGTACTTGGGGTCCTGGCTCACAGCCCTAGTCGGAGCCCTTGGCTGTGGCCTGCGGGTGTCGCTCTCAGCCATGTGCAGTTTCTCCCCCCACCCTTCCTTTTTGGGTGGTTTTAAAGTGTGCCTTATCTTGGTTACATTTTTCTCTAAAACACTTAAATCATTTTGAGATACAATAGCTATAAATAGAGGGAGGGGGATAATCATTTCTAAAAAAAATTACCTGGAGAAAGCAGGCTTCCAGTTGTAGGCTCTTGTATTTGTTTTTCTAAAAGATACTGCTTTTGATAAATCAAATTCTTATCAAGGATAATGTGGAAAATTCATAAAATTTAAAAAAGACAAAGAATTTGCCCAGAATTGCATTATGCACATTTGTTTCCTTCTAACCTTTCTTGCATGTAGAATTAAAATTTTTTTTGATACTTATACTGTGAATGGTGTCCCCTTACACTTTCTTTTTTTTTTTTTTTTTAAAGATTTATTTTATTTGTACATACAGAACTGGGGGAACTGGGGTACAGGCCAGAGGCTCAGGGGTGGCGAGAAGCTTCACCAGAGACAGAGTGGGGAGCAGAACAGGCAGATCGACAAAGTACACTGCTGAGGGGAGCAGCGGGCGGGCCAGGAGAAGTCTGCCACGCCATGTGGTCACCTCCGGGGCAGGCGGGAATCGAACTCATGTGGAAGTGGCTTTAGCTTTTCAGTGCAGTGCTTTAACCCACTGCGCCACCAGGGAGGGCCCACCCCACCCCTTACACTTTCTTAACCTGTATCATCTATCACATGGACAGTGCCCTATAGTACTAAAACTTTATGAGCATTCAAATACTTCAGGTCCCTTTAGTCAGATGTTTAGGCATCCTTATTTTATATTATAAAAACTTTATAAACATCTTTATCTACAAAATACTTTTCAAAGTTAAGATTGTTTCCTAAAGAAAAATTCAGAGGGCTGAGTCAGTGGTAGTGTTACAGGGCACTCCAGTGTGAACTGGGCTGCCTGTCTGTGGGTCCTCCCTGCGCGCCTAAAATTCAGTTATATTGCAAACACACACAAAAGGGTCAATAATGGGTTTATTTACAAAAAGGGGAAAGGAAAAGGAACAACCCAAGGAAAGAGAGAGATACAAGGTAGCTAGAATATCTTACCTGCTTGGCTAACTTGGAGCTCTGGTAATAAACTAACTGATAGCCCCCAGTCACAGGGCCCCGAGAGCCGTTGCCTGAACAAGAGAGGCCCGTTGGAAAAAGGGCACCCTATTTGTCCCCCAAAGTCCCAGAATGCCTGTTAGCTCCGCCCTTGGGTCCTTGCAGTTCTCTCCCTGGCACTGCTGGGAGTTGTAGTTTCCAATCACTGGAGTAGGGGGTAGAGTCCAGAAAGCTGGAGTAGGGGTGGGGTCCCAAAAGCTGGAGTAGGGGGTGGAGACCAGCAAAGTCTGCAGAGTTCCTTGAGGACATCCTTCCCCTTAATGACTGTAGTGAGCTTGTCAGTGTGTGAGGGCGCATGTGTCCTTGGTCCTGCAGACAAAGGGACTGAGGTGGGCCCCTTTCCTGCCCCCCTGCCCCAGCCAGAGACTTCTTATCTCAATCTGTGCATCTTATTGGTGGGATGGAGGGAAGGGAAGGGAACCTCCCAATGACTTATGAACAGGGCCTGAAATCCCTGACCCCTCTGGCTGGCCAAAGCAAAACCTGACAGGCATGTCAGGGCTACATAGGGGCTTTTGAGATGGGCAGTGTCTGTGCTCTCCACTGTCCTGTCCAGCTGTCCTGCCCGGTGCTCAGAGTCCCACATTCAGGTCTGTTTGCAGACCTGTGCATCATTCCAGCTAGGCTGAGCTCTGCTCCAAGGCAGGCTGGGCTGGTTTTCTCCTCACAAGAGTTGGTCAGTGGGGTCAGCCAGTGGAGGCACTACCACTACTTGAGCCATTATTGCCTTTTTGTTAATGAGGGGAAGACTAACTGGGAGAATGCCAAACCACTCAGAAGTGTTTTATGGGCCTTGGGATTTAATGTCCCAGGATAGGGTCTGTGTTCGGGTAAAAAAAAGAAATTGATAATGACTTTCAGTCCCGACTGGACTCCCAAGGGTCCCTGTGCTTCACTGAGCTTTCATTTTAGTTTTTTTTTTTTTTAAATATTTTTCCTATGAAGTTATGAATCTTGGAAGCTGGGAGAAGCTCTGGAGATCTCACCGGACTCATGAGTTAGGAGCTCTTTTTGTGGGTGGGGGTTCTAGGGGAGGCTACGCTTGGCTGCACTGCCAGGAGACTGCCCACCCTGCCCCTGCTCCAGGGCTGGCTGCAGAGTGATGGCTGGAGGCTTGAGGGTGAAAATGTGCATGGCTCCTGTCTCTTGGAACAGAGTTATGGAACAAACCAGCTCAGTCTCAGAGATGAGATTCAGAAGCAGTGACCAGTTTCCTGGATGTCCCTGAGCCCAAGAACCCTTAGCTTGTATCTTCAAATTCCACAGGTGCTCATCAAGGGGACCTCCCATGACAAACAGCAAAGTGACTGTAGGACTGAAACTAGCTGAAAACTTTTATTAAAGTCAATGACAAAATCCTTAAAATGCTTTGAAGAAATTGGATCTGAGATGTTCCTGCTATAAAGTAGCCTGTGAACAAATCAAACTGAAGGCGTGGAAGTGAGATGTGCTTGTAGCCAGGAAATATATATTATTCTTTCCAGTGTGACCTACATATGAGAACTGCCATAGTGTGCCTGGTGCAGAGCTCCCTGGAGACAGAGATATGGAGGGCTGAGTTTCTTGTCCCAATGAGTCTAGTTGGGGAAAGGCCTACTAGGCTCATCACAGCATCATGAGCACTTAGGAGGAGGAATGGATTCAGATGGAAAGCCCAAAGGAAGCAAATCTGAGATGGGCTTGAGGACTGAGCACACTATTGATGCTTAGTGATGCAGAAGGAAGGCCGGGCACACTAATACCCCAGGTTGGGGTGTTAATTGTTATAGTGGGAAGAGTCGTCTCTATGACTGGGGGGGGGGTTGAAGAAAAGGCATGGGGTGGTGTATAGGAAATGAAGACTTGCCAAGATGCTGATGATTTTCATCTTAAGAAGTGTGGACTTGATTCTGTAGCTAGTAGGGGCCATGGGAAGGTTCTAGAACAGGGAAGTGGCTTAATATTTAGAATTAAAAGCAAGCATACATGTTCCTTCAAAGATTGCAGCAAAACTGATGCCTCTAAAGCAAAAGGTGAGAATGCTCCTTTCCCAGAGGTAACAAGTGTCTTCCTTCAGATCGTTTCACCTGTCTGTAGGGATAGATACAGGGAAGTCAAGATGTGTGCTCCTCTCTCTCTCTCTCTCTCTCTCTCTC